TTTTAAATAAAGTGCTTAAATAATAAATAATGGTATGTTTAATTGAGGTTTAGGTTTACCCCTTGGGAATAGACACAGCTGACAAATTGGAGGAAGTTCTTCTCCACTGCTGCTGCAAGACCAAGGAACATTTTTAATGTGCATCCTTGTGTGGTTACACTTCTAAACCAAATGTAACCACCTGAGTTGGTTTTGTGGGTTACTCCACAAAGTCTTTGTGTGCAAAACCTTTCCTCCTTGCAGATGTGCTGGAGCCATAACTCCTGCTCCTTGTGGAGTCTGCAAAGGTATCCCAGAGGACAGGCTGCCAGAGAAAAAATTAATATTAAAAAAGCAAAGAAATGGGGGGGGAGGAGGGGAGGAGGATTGGTGTCATATTGGTTCAGAGAAGATGAGAGTCTCATGGAAGTTGAGATGGGGTTTCTTCCCCTTCCCATTTCATTGTCCCTTATGCACTCCCACACGACACTCATAGAGGTCTGTAGTAAGTACAGGCTGTTTGCTTAGGTAGTCTTGGACTATCTGCTGGGATCTTTAATCATCCTAAAAATAGGTATTTCTCTCTCATTGGAGGTGGGGATCAAATGAGATGCAAGTATTGAACATCTGGTGGTAAGGCAAAACTAGTTTTGTCGTCTTCTCCACTGGCACAGATGCAAAGTCCCTGAGCCCCACATTACTAACAGGCAATGTCTGACAATCTGCCACTGTCATGATGCTGGCACCAGCTGAGTTTCTCCTTGAATGGGTTTCTCTTATGTTTGTGTAAAAAAGGTTTCTCGCTATTTTTACTGGCTGTTGGAAGGTGACTTGGTATAGACAGGTGGAGAGCCATGTTTCACCCTCTGACATTTTGTTGAGCCTACAGCATTCCTCCCTAGTCCTAATTTCTGATAGCTAAGCCTTTTGTAGGGATAAAGCTGGTGGATCTGTCCACTGGGTTAAAATGCTACCTTCTAATCTTCCAGAGATGGCCTTAAACAGACTAGTTGGAAATGCCTTTGCTCTCACTCTGCTGTAAAGATCCCAAAGATCATCTTAAAGATGAGAAGAACACCTGCAAAACAGTACACACAGTGATACTCCTAAGACAGGCTTATCGTTTGCCTTACAAGAGTGATTGCTATTATTTACCTTACAGAAGGAAAGATTTTAGGAACTGATTTTTGTTTTAATTATTGCTAGAAATCAGTCACCAAATAAATTCTGAAATTGCTGAGAAAAAGTCATAGAATCATAGAACCACAGAGTGATTATAGTTGAAACAACTTTGCAGATCATCTGGTTCCAACTTCACTGCCATGGGCAGGGACATCTTCCACTAGACCAGGTTGCTCCAAGCTCTGTCCAACCTGGCCTTCAACACTGCCAGGGATGGGGCAGACACAATTTCTTTAGGCAGTTCCAGTGTCTCACCCTCACAGTGAAGAATTTCTTCCTCATAACTAATCTAATCTGTCCTCTTTCAGATCAATGTTATGCTCCCTTGTCCTAGCAGTATAGGCCCTAGTAAAAAATCCCTCTCCGGATTTTTTGTAGGCCCCTTTATATACTGGAAGGCTGCTATAAAGTCAACCCAGAGCCTTTTCTTCTCTGTGCTGAACAAGCCCAACTCTCTCATCCTGCCTCCGTAGGAGAGGTGCTCTAGCCCTCTGAGCACCTTTGTGGCCCTCCTCTGGACTTGCTCCAACAGGTTCATGTCCTTCTTGTGTTGAGAACCGCAGAGCTGAACACAGCACTTCAGGTGGCATCTCACAAGAGCAGAGTAGAGGGCAGGATCACCTCCTTCAGCCTGCTGGTCATACTCCTTTTGATGCAGCCCAGGATACAGTTTGCTTCTGGGCTGCAAGCACCGTCTCATGTCAGACCAGGTCATGTTGAGCTTCTCATTAACCAACACCCCCAAGTCCTTCTCCTCAGGGCTGCTTTCAATCCATCCTTTATGTAGCCTGTAGTTGTGCTGGGGGTTGCAGAACCTTGAACTTGGCCTTGTTGAACTTCGTGAGATTCACAGAGGCCCATCTTGCAAGCCTGGAATCATTCTTGTCCTCTTCCAGTACATCACATCCTGCTGTACCTCTGTGCAGGCAGGTGCTGAGGCTAGTGATATGGATCTGGGACTTTCTTGAGAACAGTAAAACGTATTTTTTACTTTACATCTCTGTGTGCGGATGTGATAATGCTCTGGTCTTCTGAGAACATTGCAAACATAAGCAATAAACGATCATAGTATGATACTTATTTAAAGATTGGTGCCCTACCCATAGCAGATGGAGTATACAGGCCTGTCCATTGCTTTTTCAACATGTCTAGTTTCTTTATCCTGAAGGCAAACATATATAAAGTTGTTGGAAAAAATCTCAAGCCTTTGCATTGACAAACATACAAGAACATTTAAAATTAAAGCTAAAAAGCAAATATAACTCTCAGAGGTGTCAAATAAAAAAAACAAGTAAATTATGAATATGGCTGAGCTCTTCTCCCTATCTGTGCTAATGTAAACCTTAAAATATGAGGATCATGGTTTGGTGTTGGACCTCCCTGCCATGTCAGCTGGTAGCAATTTCTTGGTAACATTTCCATAGTCTTTCCTCTTTTTTTGACCCTGGCTCAGCTGTGGATGAATTGCAGTGAGGTGAAGGGAGAGTTGAATGGATGCTGACAACTCCACAGCAGCCATGACTACTGTCTTTGGTTGGCTAACGTCACACTATACGATACCAGGTTAAGGATGAACCTGCCCACAGTTATGGCCCTGTAGCAATCAGCTTGATAGACATGCAGAGGGGAAGCAGGACTCCAAGGCAGGACAGAAATGAAGGTACATATGCACAGAAGACACATCAAGTAGGTAGGCTATTGTAGTACGGAGCAACATGATCGTGTAAGGCAAGTATTGATTGATAGTGGGGCAGGGAAGCAGGCAGGATCTCTTTTTATTATGAATTTTATTGAAAAAAGTAAACGTACCATATATACTGAAGTAGCTTATAGGTTTGTTCTTCAGAGTTTATAGAAAAATCTGAGAAACCAAGATCTGGTTCATCCCCTTGCCAGCCAACTCTTGGTTATCTGCCCAGACCATTCCAGGCAATGATGCTATATTGAAGATGCTCTAGGCATCCTGTACTTAAGAAAGAGTACATAGCCTGAATGTAAGAAGTGAATGTGCTGAGTAATTTATCCAGAAAACATCAGGAGAGCTGTAAAGGGATTAATACAGATCCTCATTTAAAGCAAAACCTGCTCCTGTATTGTTTCATAAAAAAAGAGGCAGTTCCTTTTCTATCTCAAACACCAGAAGAACCAGACTCCACAAAGTAGATGTTAATAAAACTCATGTCTGGTAAAGGCTAGAAGGATAACTTACCAACCTTATTTCACTCAAAATACCTCCATGGTAGTTGATATGAAACCCTAAACTGAAGAAAAAGCCCCCCAAAAACTCAGCTAAGATGCCATGTTCAGCATTGCCTTCTCATGGTGGATGAGCTCTGGTGCCTTGGGAAGGAGCATTTGTGAGCAGTGCTGTAAGTTCAGTAGAGAAGATGGTGCTGCCCCTTGAAGACTGGCAAAATTGACACAGTGTGTGGGGTGGGAGGCATTTTCTTTACAGTTTTTTTATGTTTGCCTTAGGCAACATCTCCCGAGGGCTGCATTAGGTGAGCTTCCCTCTTCACCTAGCTCAGTTTGAGGATGGATAGTGATCACAGGGGAGATCATGCTGCACTGTGCAGAAGTTTTAAAAGTTACCTTTATAAATACCTAGGGGTTGATTAAAATCACGTGGGCTATTTCTGCAGGAAAATGTCTCCCTCCTATGCTTTCTGCCAGAACTTTTCCTTCACAGCCCACGTTCCACCCTATTCCAGACAAATGATCTTCTTCCTTTCCCTTGTTCCTTCCTATGTCAGGGATAGTTTCTTATCTCCTCTGATTCCCTTGGCATGCCTGTTGCTTGCTGTTGCCAGTTGTTCTCCCCAAACTGGCCTTGAGAGCGGTAGTGAATACCACGGAGGAGTCACAGGCTGTCTGCCAGTCACTCAGACATTGTTGGAAATGGTGCTCTGGTGATCTTTGTCTGGTAGCCACTTAAATACCAGGCCACGCACAGAGGGACTGGACAGGGAGAAGGGTAAGATAAGAGCCTTGTGTCAGCATCTGTTGCCATTGATTAAGGGACATTTCAGAGTGAAGAGCAAAAGTAGTAAAATAAGGCTGTTAAAAAAGTGTATTGGAGGGTTCACTCTGTGGCCGTACTTTTGGGATCTGAATACTATGTTGCTCATAGTTTTGTGCTGCTGCTGGATGGGATACGTAAGCTGGGACCTGGAACCTCTCTAGACGGGATCTGCAAATACTGGACTCGTATTTTGCTACAAGTCTATTTTTTTTTTCCTGTGAGACAGCCCATATTGCCCATCAGATGCGTTATTATCCAAAGCTGTTCCTCACCTGGTGTGACCAAACAGAGCTTCAATGAGCAAAGAAACAGGCAAAAATGACTTTGTATTGTCTGTGGATTGCAGAGAAGGACTTGGCAGTACTGGTGGATGAAAGAGCGGACTTGCGCAACAATGTACGCTCATACCCAGGAAGTCAACCGTATCCTGGGCTGCATAAAAAGAAGTGGGGCCAGTAGGTCAAGGGAGGTGATTCTGCTCTGCTCTGGTAAGACCCCACCTGCAGTACTTCATCCAGCTCTGAAGTCCTCAGTAAAAGACAGACATGGACCTGTTGGAGCAGGCCCATGTCTGTGTTTTACTCACAGGAGCACCTCTTCTGTGGGGAAAGGCTGAGGGAGCTGTGGTTATTCAGCCTGGAGAAGAGAAGACTCCAGGGGCCTGGTTGTGGCCTTTCACTACTGAAAGGGGTCTTACAAGAAAGATGGAGATACAGGAGGACCTGTTGTGATAGGACAAGGGGTAGTGGTTTCAAATCAAAAGAAAGTTAATTCAGACTAAATATATGGAAGAATTTTTTACGAGAATGGTGAAACACTGGAGTAGGTTGCCCTGAGAGGTGGTAGGTGCCCCACCCAAGGGAACATTCGAGGTCAGGTTGGATGGGGCTTTGAGCAACCTGGAACAGTTGAAGATGTCCCTGCTTATTGCAGGGGCGTTGCACCAGATGACCTTTGAAGTTTCCTTCCCACCCAAACTATTCCGTGATTCTGTGGATATGGCACATTTATGCATTCATTCACTTCTCACCTCTGGACTACAATTAATCCAGAAATCACATCTAGTCATATGGATAAACCCTTATAGGAGTAGTCTTGTATTATTGTACCATTAATCTTTAGTGATCGCTGGAAGTGCTTAATAGGGTCTTATTGCGTAAGCCCCTCTTTTAGCCACCTTTGGAGAGTGTTCCATTGCACTCTGTACTCGAGCTGGGCCTCAGCTATGTAACAGGCATGAACGTTTGCATCCATGTCTGATCTACTTACCTTACCCATGGTCCATGGAGAGAAAAAGGCACTTCTAGGTCATGAATTGTCTTGTCCAAATGCAGGCATGAAGAATAATTAGGTGAATCACACTCTAAACCTGCTTGTTTCTCTCAACTTAATTGGGAAATTGTACAAGGAGGATGGGGTGATTAGCTTATATGCATACACCTACACTGAGAATGTCTCCAGGGAGGTGAGTTGAACCTCCCACAGGTCTAAGACAAGTGTGATGAACCCTCTGGAGTGTCTTATAGAATCATAAAATCATAGATTATCCATCTCCATTGCTTAGGAAATGAGTCACAGGCAGGCACCCAGCTTAAACTAGACACTTATCTTCTAAGTTTCTAAAATTAAATTAAATTACTCCCACCCTGAATCTGTATCAGCCACGAATAAGCAAATATTTTTTCTAGAACTGTTGTGCACTCTCCAAAAGAGACACCAAGGATTCTGGAAGCAAATGCAGAAAAAAATCTGAGAAGTTTCACATTTAATTTTTTAGTATTTTATTTAAAGCTTTTTATTTTATAAGTTTTCTCTTTGATGATCAATTTGTAACTCAAAACACAGAACAGATTAACTCCCCTTTGGCATTGGAAGGGTTAATCTGAGTACCCTGATGGCAGGGAGGTTGTACCTGGCTAGTTGAGGGCAGGTTTGGACACTTCTTCCGTAACTTTTATGGCATCAATCTCTTCAAGTACCTGTTTCTCAGTAACTTGAGGAGGGAGAGGACTGCTTTCTGGAAGTTGTCTACTGTCACTACATAGAACAGGAGGTTTGCAATGGTATTTAATGCTGCTAAAGGTTTAACAATATTATACATATTATGGATCAAGTTATTCAAGTGGCAGCTAACCGGTCGTGCTCGGATCTCCAGGCGAATTCCTCGAAAGATGTGGAAGGGGAGGAAGCATGCATAGAAGAGCACCAAGATGACAATGGCAAGTCTGCGAGCCTTCTGTTTGTAGCAAGCCTGTGTGTGTGATCCAGTGGCTAAGGTGTAAATAATGAGCACATAGCACAGAGTCACAGTAAGCAAGGGCAATAGGAAGGCAAACATCATCAGCAGCCAGCTATACCATCGACTAGTTTCAAGATCCACAGCAGTAGACAGGTCAGGACACATTGTCTTGTTCTGCGTATGCCTTGTGGCAATCAAGATGCCCAGGGGGCTGATGGTGGCCAGGGAAATCATCCAAACAACTACAGAAGTCACCACTGCCCATCTCCGTTTTTTAACAAAAAAGAATTTAATTGGGTAGACAACTACAAAAAAGCGTAAGACGCTGAAGCAGCTAAGGAAGATAATACCACTGTACATGTTGAAGTTGAAACCAAAGTGAATAAACTTGCACATGAAGTCTCCAAAAATCCAGTTATTTCCATTAAAAGAGTAGTGTATATAGAAAGGAAGCGTGGCTAAATATAATAGGTCAGTGATAGCCAGGTTGAACATAATGATGGTGCTGCTTTTCCAGGGCCTCATCTTGACAAAGTAAACAAAAATTGTCATGATGTTTGCTGGGAAGCACAGCACGAAGATTAGGCTGTAAAAGGCAGTGAGGTAGTATTTCCCCTCTGAGAAATCTTCATTTTTGCAGGTTGTAAATGGGTCTGTGTGGCCTGGTTGAGTAGTAAAATTGCTGGTGTGTTCAGATGCCATGTTTGCAGAGATCTTCTTAAAGCTTTACAAAAAAAAATCAGGTGCTTAGTTTTAATTGATTTGTTGAGACAAATGCATTCAGTTACATCATTTGCTGCTGGTATATGTTTGACAAGGCATAATAGAGGAAAGAAATGGGGATTTGCCAACATACCCAGGTCTGACCTAGGTAACCCCACTGAAATGTTTAACTTCACCCTCCTCTCTCCTTTATTTTTTATTTTGATAATTATTATTTTTTTCTCTTGATTTATTTGAACTCCTACCTTGAAGAAGTCAATTACTGCTTATCTGGAAATCTGCAGGAGTAGAAAGCACATATTTATAGACATAGAGAGAGTTTGGGCAAGATTTTGCAAAACTATGAATTAGTCTTAGCTTTTTAGACAGTAGTAGAACTGTACCCATATCTTATCTACATTAATCTGAGCTAATTGGTTTTTTGTGCTCATGAAACCAGAGGTGCTGTTCTTGTTTCATGAAAACCAAAAGATAGCAGGTTCAAATACAGATCTCAGGACCTGATGTTCCAATAACCTGACAATCAAGACTCGTTCCATGAATATGAGGTTGCTCTCTTGGAGTCATCAGAGTATAAAGCTATTAAAAACAAGAAAAAAAGGTCCAGCTAAGCTTTTAAAGACTGCTACTCAACGTGCAGAATAAAGATGGAATGCACAGATATTGAGTGAAAACACTGGTTTTCCTTCCCATTCTGTGTGAATTTGAGCTAGATAGACTTGTCTCTGAAATGGTTTCTCATCTACCATAGCCAATTTGAATCTATTCACAGTGAGTTCAAGACATAACCTTTCTTGGTAGTGCTTTAAGCTGAAACAGTGGTAAGCAAGGATGAAAATCATCTTATATAACTTCAGATATCAGAAAGTTAGATGCTTAAAGTGAAGCCAGTCATCCTAATCCCCTCTTTAAAGCCCCCCTTCATCATCAAGGGAGAGAGGTAGGTTCCTCCAGGACATAATATATCTTCCCATATGTGAGGTTTCTATGAAAAATTATTTACTCTTTTGGAGGCATACCTATTTCTTTCCACTGATGACAAAAGCAGCCCAAGGTGACTGGTTCAGACCTGGATGCCTCAAGTGAGGCAGGAGACATGCCACTGTATGTCTTCAACATCTTAGGTGAGCACTACTCCTCCAGATCCTAACCAATTCCATGTGAGAAAATATTTTTCAGTGACTTCATAAAGTGCTAGACAGGGTACTATGAACACCAAATCCCTTTTTTTGTGCCAGAAACAGAGTCTTTAAACTCAGTCAGTGTTATATTGAACATCCAGATGAAGTCATCACATTAGAAAAAACAAAAGAAAACAAAACAGCAGACATAATTCTACCTTATTGCAGTTCTGGAAACCCTGTGTATAGAATTCATTTTTATGTGATTCTGTTAAGAGCATTTAGCATGTTACCTATATGGATATTTCTTCATTATCCCAATGTCTGGTAGAAATGACAAATTTTCCTTGACAAAGCCAATCATGAAAGCTGGGACACAACAGAATTATTTGATCATAACCAGTCAGAAAGATGGGTATCACTTTGTTACTCACAGGCACTCCAGAGAGAAATTTAAACAGTCTGCCTGTAATTTGGCTAAAACACTGATCCTTTTTAACACAACTATTAGCTCTGGTATAGCAGCTTTACAGTTAAAGATGCATTACGTAAAGGCCATGAAGCTTGTTTTAAACAAATCCAGATTCACATTCACAAAATCTAGTGACATTCATGAGTTTTCACTCTTTTCTGCTTTTCTGCTGTTTGGTGATACCGCTGTCATCCACTTTTATGCCTCTCACTGGTATATTTCAAGTAAAGTTAGAAAAAAATTCTAGAGTGTTTGATGCATCATGTTTAGGTTTCTTGCACTGATGATCAGTTCTCCACTGAAATCTTGAACCCTCCAAACCAAAAATGGAGAAATATTGCTTACCTGAAAACATGCAATTCTGCTTCTCCCTTTGATATTGCTTTGAGCAAAGAGCAGTACAAATGAAATGTATTTATGTCTTCTTTACAGTGAAGCAGGTATTTTATGTGGCTATGCAGCCATATACATTCACTCCCTGCAGACTAAGACTCCATGTGGCCATAAATTAGGAGAACGGTAGAAAACCTCAGTTAGTGGCTCAGGTATCAGCTCTTAGACCTGGGTGGCTGGATGAGATCTCTTTTGCCCTCTGCCATTCATGCTGTCTTGCCTTCAGTGAGCAGATTGCACTTTGCTGGCAGCAGTTCTGTGTGCTGAGCTAGACCTGTAGTATTCAAATCACAGGAGATCACATTTAAATTAGTGTGTGTGTGTGTGTGTGCATGTTTATAAAAGAGAAAATTAAATTTGTTCTCCGTTTCCTGTGAAGTGGAACCTGATCACCAAAGTGAATCAGGCCTGTTGCCATTTCAAGGTCAGATGAAAAATGTTTTGATACACTGCCTTCATTAAAACCAAACTTCTATGAAGTACAGTTTTCATCTCATGCAAGAAATGAAGGTTTCCTTTGGCATGATGTGCTTTTCAGGAACTGTGGCATACTTTCTGCCAGTTTTGGTGAATAGAACATCTACAATTAGTGTTGGCTGTTTGTTACTGGGGTAGCTGAAGTTGCAAACTTGTCTTCTTTTGGGTCTTTGCTTCTGGGCTTCATGATTCACAAGAGCTGTGATTTTCCATGCTTCTTGAACCAAAGGACTGTTCTTGAATAAAAGTGTCATCATCATGCTCAGCTCAATGAACAAGTTCAAAGGAGATTATTATTTAAAAAGAAAAAACGAAAGTCATAATATGTTGAATTTTGAAACAGCAGGCTTCAATCCCTAAGCCCAGCTGCCCAGTGGGGCCAGCAGCCTTTTGGCCATGATACATTTTATAGGTCTTATCCACTGATGAGGCTTATGATCCAGTATTAAACGAGTAATCTTTCATTTCTGAACATTACTTATGTTAGCATAGTTCACATACATAACTGAGAACCACACAGATAACAATATTTTTTTGGAAGGTGTCTTGACTCTCTGTGAGTGTCTGTACCATAGGCATGAGCTGGGAGAAGGCTATCTGTTTTGCTATCATATTGCAGAGAAACAGTGATAACAGGGATAATCAAGACTGGGGCAGCAGTAATATCTGACAACTAGAACATTATCTATCTGTTGCCATTAGGGGAAAGGCATCACCTCTGGTCTCATCTTACCAAGCTTTTCTCTAGGTCAGTGCCTAGAGCAGTTTTAAAAAATGCCCAAAGTTTCTCAGTCATTGTAAAATTCACTGTCTTGTACTAGCTCTGGGATCAGCAACTGTTTAGATAGCTATTACCCTGTTCTAGACACTGCATGTGTCATTAGAAACCATTTGTATGAGGCTGTAGTGTTATAAGCACAGAGGGAGCTAATTATAGTTAGGGATCATTTAATGCATCCACTGCTTAATCCATTATACCCCTAAGCAATAGGGGTGTGCTCCTGTGCTCCCCTGTGCTCCAGTGGCTGGTATTTATCCTTCCTTAGCGGTGGCAGTGCCTGATGTGAAGGAAAAATGGGCCCTCCCAGCACCATGGCCCAGAACTGCCAGGGGTCTGGGGCACTGGGATCTTGAGCAGGCATTGGGGTCACCTCTGAGTATCTGACTCTGGACAGGAAAAGAAAATAAAACTTCCATTTTCAGACCAGTTTCAGGAGAGGGCGTCTAATGGAAGGTCATTTATGCAGAGCTGCTCTGCAGGGAGACAGAGACATACATCTTAGCTTTCCTAAACCTTTTCTCATCATCAGCTGTAGAGACCACATGGCTCCTGCCTCCGCTGGCCTCCCTGCACCCTTCACCAGGGTTTCAGACATTCCTCATTTCACATGGACCTTTGGAAACATTGGCTTTGTTTTCAGCCATGTGACTGGTGCAGGGGCTTGTGTCAGGCACTTGGGAAATTATGGATAAACTAACAAGTGCCTTGCAAATATCTGATTAAAAATGCTTGCTTGGCATCATGTAGTATCTCTGTGAATAAAGGGTGATCCTGCAGTGTGACTTTCAACTCTGCAGTCTATGGTCCTTTTCTCTTTACCACTGGTTTCTCCACCTCATGCCCATGGACCATTTAAGTCTGCCTATAGCTAGACCAATCTGATCCTTACCGAAAACATGGCCTCTTTTGTGCTTTAAGGCTACCCTTGCCCTGCTCCCATCCACAAGCATTGGAAGAAAATCAAAATACGCTGTAGTTTCACAGTTGGCTTAAGTGACTCATTGCAGGCTGCTGTTGAAAGAGTTGGCAGCACCACCTCCCTCCTCTTATCCTAAACCATGTTTTTAACAGCCCAAGTGCTTGTGCAATCATGGGATGTGTTGGATAAGTGAGCTGATGAAAATAAAACAGTTTTCTTATTCTTGGGTTAGTTTTCTGGCACTTTGGTGAAGGCTATGGCTCCTTTCATGGATGTGTGGGCTGCAGTGGCAGGGACTGACCAGGGACAAGGACAGCAAAGGCAGACCAGTTCAAGCTGGCAGCAAGGTTGCATGTGGGTTTCTGCTGTGGAGTGGTGTTTCTCTTACCATTACTGGCAAACAGCACCCTCAGCTGAAGCCAGTCTCCAGCAGTGCTCCCCTCTAGAGACAGCACTCAAATCTTGTTTCGACAGTCTTCCAGGCAGGTGGGATTGATTTGTCAGATGGGCTGTCATTTTCTCTAATTTGATGAGCATTGATAAGAATTGCAAAGACCTGTAACCCAACAGCAAAAGGCTAGCTATTTGTGCATTTCCTGAAGCAACCATTATAAAATCCTACAGAGTTCATGTGTGTATATAAATATTGCTATTAGTCACTGTATAGAAAGGAAACTGGAATGATTTGGTGTCAGGATTATTAATTCAATATTTCCTCTTAAAGCTTTTTACTATAGGCTGGGTCAGTTATCACAGAGCGCATGACGCAGATAGGATCATCTTTTCATATTGTATCTGTGATGGCAGGGTGACAGATGAGTTCACACACCTACACACCTGGACCAGACAATCTGTTTCAAAAACTTCCAGTCTAAAATACAGATGTGGAGAACAAAGTCCAATATTTCTATTATGATTTGTGGCTTATTGAAAACAATGTCTTTTTCCTACAATGTCTCTTTCCTCCAAATGGCCTCCTTTGTGGGCATTGGAGCAGAAGAAGTCTTGGCAGGGCTTTTTGTGGTGTCTCAGCATCACTAATGAACTCATAGGCATGAGGGTCCACAAACTGCTTCTCCAGTGCAGGGGCCATTCTCGTCTGATAAAACCTGGCCTAAAATCCATGGACATGAGTGAAAGAATCCTTTCAGAGTCAGACCTTCAGACATGACAGCACTCAGTGTGGTGCAGTAGAAGCATCAAGAATAGCTCTGATTTATAATTATGCAAGAAAACAGGCAGTTTGTTGGGCAAGGGCTAAGCTCCAGAGCGTTAAGAGCTTTCATTATAAGTCTTACTTTTAGTTCAGCAAACATATAATCTTTCCATGGGTTATTTCCCTTAGCAGACATACATTTGTTTGGTTGATCTTCCTCTGTGTGTGATTGAATACCTAATTACAGTTGTTATCAGACCATGGTCAGGAGATTCTGTTTTGTTGAGAATGATACTGTGCATCTTCATCACATGAGGAAATCAGCTCCGGCTCTCCCTTTCTATTTCTCCCCTGAGACAAAATGGTAAGGACAGCATTTTTTTAATCCCTAAATGCATGGTAACTCTAAATTAATCACAGTTTAATGCTGCTATCCAATTATGTAGGTGATAGAGACTGTTAATGAAAACCTCTGGAAAGGAATATTTTACCTTAGGAAAATTGCATATATAATCTGGAATATAAACAGTGCTGCTGCCACTGCATCTGAGCAGAAGTAGTGTGATACAGTTCCAAAAATAGCCTGTATGGATCTGAGGTACTATTATGGTTAATATTAGTCCTCAAAGTGAATTGGTGCTCATCGACTGCAGGGCATAGAAGATAAAATCTTCTGCAGCCCTTAGATGATCACTGAACTTCAGAAGGTGAGTTACCCTGTAGGGAGTGGGGAGACAAAAGGCAGTGGGACAGTTTGCCTGCTCAAAACCAATGTATGCTCAGGTACTTCGGTAGAGCACTGACAAGACCATAAACTTGTGAATAAAAAACACTGCAGGAGCACCCAGCTTTGAAGTGGCCTTAAACACAGCAGCTGCACCAGTTAAAGGTTTCCCAGCAGACACTAAAAGCCAAACTAAACTCATCAGAGATGTGACAAGAGTTGTAATTGTTTAAGGTAATGGGGCATTTCCTGAAAATGAGCCAGCTCAGACTGAAAACAGAGAGGACCAATTTACTGCCTTGTTATTTTGGTTTTTTTTTCAATTCCAGACAAGCAGCCTTCTTGGCTCCCAGTAATGTGCCAGTACAGGATTCAGCAAAGGGTGCTGTTAATGTGGCCTCCAGCTTATAAGCAAGTTTTCAGTCATTGATATATACTATTGTGCTGCCATTGCTCTTGTAATTTGCTTGCAGAGTGCTGTGGCACCTGCCCTTTGCCTTAGGCCACTCTAATAAAGCTTTGTCTTCAGAAAGTGACTTATACCGTCACAGCCCTCTACACATGAATGCAATATACACACTCAAAGATGAGCCTTTCCATTCTCCAGATGCCATTTCTTCAGCCCTTAACTAATGCCTGGCTCTTGGCAGAAGGACACTGGGTCCCTTTGTTACTGCACTGGTCTCTGCAGTCCTGCTACCACCATCCCGATGCCACTTGCTCCCACCGGCATCCCTCTTCCCTCCCTGCCCAGATCCCACCTGCCAAAATTCTTCCTCTGCTTTGGAAATTAACCTTTCCCAGTGGGACTGCAGCGAAGGGGGCCACAAGGAGGAGATGAAAGGGAGCTCAGCTATGTAAGATACACTTCATATTTTAAAAGCATCATTTTCCTCCCAACCTTATTTCTTTTAATGTTTTTCTTCACACAATCACTGAAGTTATAAACTGGTAAATTAGTTGTTTGCATTACCAGGGCTTGTTTCTGATAAGGTAAGGTAATTATCAGGTGGAATTTTACTATCATAAAGGAATAAGCAGGAATAATTATCAGTCAAAGTGAAATTAGGAGGTTGCTTGACCACAGTGACAAAATAGAACTAGAAACCCTCAAGGAAATGCTCAGCAAATCACCACTTGACTGCAAATATCTTGTATTTTTGGGGGCAGCCTCTTGCTTTCCGGAAGAAAGCTAAGCAAACAGAGAAGGTGTTCAGGCTCCTCATCCCAAATTATTCCTATTCCATCCTTCCTGGAGAGAAACCCCTCTATAAGCGTGGCAGCACATAGGCAGCTCCCTCTGCACTCCCCTTTGCTAAGGCTGCTCTGCCAGCCTCACCCAGAGATTCATGTAGCTTCTCTGTTTTTGAAAAAGTCTTGTGCTCTTTAAATGATGCTTAAATGCTAAGTGTTATTATCCTCAGGCAATTATATGGCTCTCCAACTATTCAGATTGGGTGGAGGCACAGACAGTTGAAACAGCCTTATAAGAGATAATTATGCAAACCGAGCCTGTGGAATTTATAAGTTTTTGTTTTTTTTTTTTAATTTAACCTTTCTCCTCTGGCTATTCCATGCTCATCTAAATCAAATATATGAAAAGGAGGGGCTCTTCCCTTCCCGGGCTTTCTCTTCCTTTGCTTTTCTATGCTACCTTGCACCAAGAGCTTCA